GCCTTCCTGCAGAATGGGTTACGAAATCTGCCTTGGACAACTCCAAGGACTTAAACACTATCGTGACTTAAAATTAATAAATCCTAATTATTCTAAATTACCTGCAATTTAAAGTAAATTTACGAGAAAAAGCTGTACCCAAATTAAACTAAACATGTTCATTGTTGAATTAAAGTGCAATGTACTGGCAGATCTAGAAATTAACATGCTGCAGAATTGAAGATTTCATCTTAATTAACAGTAAAAATTAACGTGAACAGTAATTAAACTACCATGCTTGAAGTTGAAAAGAGGGATGAACACCACATAAGTAATCATTGAATAAAATGCTACTTATCATAAACATTAAATTAATTACAGATGAAAAGAAAACAATACCTTGCATAAACTTGAAGGATTGAAGTTCATTGCATGAAAAGAAATTGTTTAACTGAATATAGGAATTAATTTGTCTACTGGAATGATGAAAAAAAAAACAACCTAATTCTAATGGAATCTGTGCTGAAATCCGAAATCTGGAAGCATGTGCAGAGAAAATCAAAGTATGAAAATTTGCAGATGTTTGAGTAGGGCTGGCCGTCCGTTCTTTCTTCCAAAATTTCCTTTTTGTTCCCCATGTGCTGGCTGTAACTTCCACTTTCTGCAGTTACCCAATCATGGGTGGTTTTTTGAAATAGTGGGACACCTCACCTTTGACCTAATCTTATCTCCTTACAGATTTCGCCACCTGTATTTTATCAGATAAAATCCCCTTTTTAACTGTGATCTTCCTCTATTTTCCAGCTGCCATTATCTCTTTCTGTTTCAAGAAGATAATTACTCCATAAAACATTATCTTTACCTCTTCTATCTTGCCAACACATGTGCTGATATGTCATGGGGTCCAGAATCCGAATCTGACATGGCTCAAACTCCTCTAACCAATAAAAATTTTACACGTGACATTAATTTAAAATTTTGCAATTTATGGTGTAAACAACATGATATGCAGTTATAATAAATTAAGAGATGAAAAGAAAAATTACATGACATGTAAGTATAGTGAATTAAAGAATGAAAGGGGCACCTCAAGATAAAAAATATATATATATATATATATATATATATAAAAGCATCCATAACATGCATGATTTTCTCCATTTTCCTTAATTTATTCCATGGAGACGTTTTAACTTTTCAAAAAGGGAAAAAAATTAAATGTTGAAAGTGGGATTCGAACCACGCCGTTTTGGACCAAAACCTTAATCTTGCGCTTTTTACCAACTCGGCCATCTCAACAATGCATGCAACATTGTTTTTTACGTAATATGGTTGTTTCTTTAAAAAAATGTATGCCCAACTTTCCAGTCACCTGGAGAGCAAGAAGAATTGTCTCCCTAACCATTCCTTTTCATGGTTATTTCTTCCCCATTTTCTGCCTCCAGCGTAAAAACCGTCTTCTTTCTTGACACGTTGGCTGTGTAAACTCATGTGAACACCAGCATTCACCTACCAACCATATGTCTACATATATGAGGTGAGACTGTCAAAAGACAATTGGCTGATCAATATTATAACGTGGTGAAAGCAGCATGCTTAGTATCATTCTATGGCTACGTTGATTAATAGAGCAATGGATTTCATGGCCAAAATGCTCTGACAAACAATCAAACTCCGAGTAGCTTGTCCTTTTTGACATGTACAAAATATGCATCCCTCAGTGGAACTTGAAAATAGTGATGAAAATGAAATGAAACTAGCTAAAAATTCTATGTACAAAAGGAGGGCTTTTTGGCATCTTAAATTATGTTGTTTCTTTTGCTTTCATCATTGGTAGGTTTCCTTCTTAATCATTCTTTCTCGCTTCATCTGTCCATAACTATGTTACACAGTCTGGTGGAGTGTTTTGACTAAAGGAGAGGTACAGTGGTCAAACCAATGTGTCACCTCTTTGAATGTTGAACTTGCAGAGTGGGCATGTTGCGTTTATCCGGAGCCATTTGCTAACGCATTGAGAATGGAAATGGTGGTTGCAAGGAAGAATGTGTAGCTCTGCCCCTTCTAAATATTGAGAAAGGCAGATGCAGCATTCCTGCAATATGAGAGGCAGGTTCATCTTCATGAAAATCATCATGGTAACTTACAACTAAAGCATATAAATATTCAGCTCCTTTTAACTCAAGCAAGTCAGCTTGCAGCATGGTAAAAGTCCAAAAGATGAGCAGCATTGTGCTTAAAGAAAAATCTGAAATCAAGGGCTATTGATCTCTGTTTTTTATTTTCTTTCAAGGCCTGGGTGGAGGGAGGAAGGGGATGGCAAAGGGAAAAAGAAATCACATCATACTTTTCTATCCAATGCCTGGATGCCCAAAACAAAACTTATAATACTCAACATTTGGATTGTAATTTTAGGAATGACACTATTGATCTTTGTAAAAGGATTTTGATTCATAATTTGCTTGAGGCGAAATCCAAAGGCAAGCTAAAACTAAGTTGTAGCCCTTTAATTACTTCAAATAATTGGAAATTTGGAATGAAGCATCTAAGCCATGGTGAAATATCTGAAGTTTCCTTTAACTGTCTCTCTCCTTTTCCTCCCATTTTATCCCATCACTTTCTCCCCCTTTTCTCCCTTTATCTATTCTTTTCTCTCCAATCCAGCATCACCTCTAGACACATGCTAAAACTTTTCCAACATTAATGAAAGCATAAAGCCGGTATGCAATCAACCACAAAGCAACAAAGTCTGGTCAATAAGATGGAAAAAATAGAATTGTCAACAGAGAGAGCAGAGTAAGGAGGGGCATATACTTACAGAATCATCTGGAGGAAGAATAAATTCACTGTCTAAGCTTTTGCTCCCTAACTGTAAGCTTGTCCTGCAATTTTCTTCCGTATAATTATTTGGTGTTCTCATTAGACTAGAATTGTGGTATCTATACTTGGGAAGTTGCTTGATATCATCTTCAGAAGCACCTTGTCTGGTTGCAATAGCACAAGCAATTGCTACAATAGGCATGAAGCAGAAGAGAGCAAAGAATATGATACACACCATCCCAAGACAAAAGATTATGAAGAACACATCAAAGGCTAGAAAGATCACTGTTAACCTGCAACCCAAAGGCCTTTGTTGTTGAGAGCTCCACACAAGTCATTTGTGTAAGCCTACCAAAAACTATACCACAGTTTCAAAGGTCAAAATTCCATGAACATATTTGAGTGCTCAAAACATCTTGTTTGCATTATCAGAATCCAAGTTAACACTTTAAAATCTTATCAAGAAATTTACTTAGTGAGGGCAAGGTGAGATGACACTTTAGAAATCAGAGACCAGTCTGGCGAGGTATGCAAAAAATAATGAAGCAAACATACACAACAAAGCATCTTAAATTACAGTTTCACCAACCCTTTCTTAAGAATCAAACCACTGTTCCTCTTTAATAAAAAAAACCATAGTATTTAAGAAGGGATGGTGACAGAACATCGGTTAAGAGAGAACTAACCAGATATTTTCAAGCACTTTCATTTTCGTCAAGACCATAGAACTCAAAGAATTATTTACTGTGACTCCCATCAATTATCAAGACCCACACACCCCCTCCGCTCATCTCCTTCCTAAGGGCTACACTCTCACTGTGACTTCTGCACTAACAATGTTGCCCCTTTTTCTCTTCAGAATCATTCCCTCTCATTCTCAAACAGCCAAATTTATGTAAACCCTTCTAGATTTATGCAAATTTAGGCCCAATATTTTAAGGAGAAATGATGGGGTTTTCTGCATCAATTGATTATTAGGGTTGATTGTCTTAACTCTTAATTGAATAACTACAAACTTTCTCTTGGCACTTAGTTATTCAGTAAAAAAATAAGAGATAGCATTCAAGTCCTTAAGGCATCAATCTCACCAGTAGAGACGGGGAGATTCTTGCGGGAGTAATTGGCCACCCATGACAATCCAATAGAATCCGATCACCCACCAAATGGATGACAATATTGTATTCAATGACTCCAGCCTTTTCACAATGCTGAAAAACAGACAATCATTTTCATCAGGCATTCCTTAAGATGCTTACTTTCACGTGGAAAATTAATATTCCGTCCGTCCCATTTTTTATTTAGAATTTGTCCCATGAAAAATATGTAAAAATAAAAATTGTTCTTGAATCCTTAATCTGAGGATAAAATCAAAAAGCGTCTGGGATGGAGGGAGTAAAAGCACTAAAAGCATGACAAAAATTGATTAAAAGAGCTTAAATACGATTAACTTCGGTCAACGACGCTACCTGATATAATTTTGGGGTGATGAAAGCCCAGCCTCGCCGGCAAGATCACTCCGATCCTTACTCCGACACTCAAGAAAGACGAAAGCAACATGGAAGACACACTGGAAAGCGTAACCGGAGAGCCAGGCTCTCAAGGGAGTGGAAGGCCTCTCACGAATCGCAGACAAGAGAACCAAAACCGAAACCACAACGAATGACATGTTCCATATGAGATCAAGGACCATGACGGCCTTGGAGTAAGAGTAGCCACTGTCGCTGTCGCCGTCGCCGGCCCCGGCCTCCATCAGACGTCTGATACAGCGAGTGAGAGGCAGCGAGAGTGTGGCGGCTATGCTCAGGCGCCGGTGGTGGTGCGCCGAATCTCCCTGCATTGCATCTGCGTGCTCTTCTTCCATTTTTGGATTCTCCGTCCCTCACGGGTAATGAAGGAGCGGGTTGAGGTGAGGGCTTAAAACGGTGGCGTTTTATATACCTGCCAGCTCACAGACGGATTAGGTGGCGGGTAATGGCTGTCTGAGGCCAATTATTTTGGATAATTAGTTGGTTTAGAATCTCAATAATAAGTGATTTTCCCCCTAATAATTAACAATGGTTGGAGAAAAAATAATTAATGAAGGGTATTTTGTCCAAGGTCAACCATGCTCAACCATTGGGAATGCATATGATGAAATGAAGTAATTCTCTATTGAGAATGGTATTTTTTAATATGGACTATATTTTTTTTTATGTAATTTAAATATTAAAATTATCAAAATATTATTGATAAATAATCATGGAGAGTGTTTTTAATAATTTCAATACTCAAATTATATAAAAAAAATTGTGATTCGTAATAAAAAAACACTTTTTTGTTTTCTATTAATTCTTTAATCGTCTTTGACTGAATTGATAAAATTTTATTAACAACTTAAGGATTTAGGGTAAATTAACCATTCAAATATAGGTTTTTTTTTTTTTTGGTAAGACCATTCAAATATAGTTGATAGTTAATAATTGATGTCTAATGATTAATAATTATTGTTATGTATAATTTAAAGCATCTAACCTATTAGATTAAAATCAATAATTGATAATTATTTTCAAAACTTTAAAACAAACACTTTATAACTTATTTCATTTGAGGAAAAGATAAAAACGAGAGAAATTTCTCTATTTAGACAACAAAAAGTTAAAGGGAAAGAAAAAAGAAGGTGAGGGATTTTCCCTCAATTTCCTTCAAACTAAGCAAGAGTTTAATGATAATCTTAAGAAAAGTTTTTTGAGACATCGACTTTTTCAACCTTGACTCTTTTCTCTCACATTAATCATAGGAATGGCAAGGAATATACCCCAAAGAGATATGGGATTGAAAAATCAATTTCCTCAAGAGGCCTCCACCTTCAAGACCTTATAATTTCTTTTTGATAGGATAAGACCTTATTATTTTTATTCAAGTTTCACAACCTATGCTCCTATAAATTATAATGAAGGCTTCAATAATAATGTTGTAGCAGACATTTGACCAAATATTATATAGAACAAGGAGAGGGTGATGAGGATAACGCTATATTCTAATTAAATCATTTTTGAAACAAAAGCATTATGGAAAAGAAAAAAGTCAAAGTTTTTATGCATTAAAGCTATATTCTATTTCACACCGAGCCAAATATAATTTTTTTAAAGAAGTTGCAACTCAATAGTAATGTTTTAGACTTTTAGTTGAAGTAAAAAATCATGACTTTAAATTTAAAAATACAAATAAAATAAATAAAAAGATAGGAGAAGATATAATATTAACCAAGTAAAAAAGAGAGGTAGTAACCAAGAAATAAAAAACTCTAATAAATTGTTATTAAAACAAAAGCATTGCAATTTACAAAGTCATGTCTAGAGAAACGGAGTACATATAGATACCATCTTAATGTACAAAGCACCATTGCAAAGAAAAATTAAAAAAAGTGCAAATGTGAAAAAATAGATTTTGGAAAGGATGGCATTTCTATTGCCAATCCCTTTTCCAATCTTCTATGCCCTAAAAAAAATATTTATCACCTTATCTACACTCCACTCTACAGTACACTAATATCATAAAGGCAAGGTATTGTACAATTACCAGACAACATACTACCAAGGGAAAAGAGTTTTGCAGCCCACATTGACGGTTTTTTCAATTAGTCCAGACATGAAATTAACAGTTTATCAATTTCATGCCCGGACTGAAAAAACGGTCAGCTCAAATTGAGTAACTCTTTTCTCAAATTCTTTCCCTTTACTAGTCTTTTTCCTGCAGTCATTCTTCAGAACTTACAAGAAGTTCCCAACCTTTGCTTTGAAGTTGTTGTGCATTTTGTTCTCTCGAATTCTTCAGGCAAGAGTTTCTCAAAATTCTCAAGGAATAATTCCCATTCACCCTCACTCAAGTCCTCAAATGATATTCCCTCACTTTCCTCATTATACTTCTGAACTGAGAAACTCTGGCTCTTCATCAAACCCCCTACTCTGCCATCTTCTTGATAATTGCTCTTGTTCTCACTTTCATCTCCTTTCTCCTCCTCCATCTCCAAGCCAGAATTGTACTCGTCCTTTTGAGTTTCTGCATGCAGTGGAGACAATAGAGCATCACTCGGACTTGACAGGGAGGTAGCTGGAGATCGTCTTGGAACTTTGGGTGGTTTAGCCATATGGTGAGGGGTCTGTATGAGTTCTGCAAGTTTAGCCTCTTCACAATTTCCTTCACTTTCTGTGTCGAATTGAAATATTCCAATCTCTTCTGAATCCACCCCACTTTCATCCTCATCCTCATCATCCTCTTCCTCGTCATCCACTTCACTACATGGATCAACAACACTTGCCTTGGCCTTTACACATAGGTCCTCTAGCACGCTTGAGTTTTCCTGTCCCCCATAGAATCGCCTGGTTATCATCTCACCTATGTCAGCCAGGCAAAGGCCAGCAGCAGCAGCTTGCTTGAGGAAAATGGTGCAGAGGATAAGAACACGTATCGAGGACTCCCTTATACTAGGAATCTCTGTTCTCAAAAGCTCTGCATCCTTAAAAGGATCAAGATTAGATATATACTCAAGTTTTACTTCTGAAAAAGGAACTGCTGCTTGAGGCCAATGCAACCATTCAAAATATGGATCATCCAGCCGCTCTGGTAGGCAAAGGCCATGGTCTATGGGGACAAGTTCAGCTGCCCCACCAGCATACTCTTCCTGCTGAACATGTTTCTTGACAAGTATGTTTCCTGCATGCCTATCAAGATTTAATAGTCTAATATCCAAAATCCCAATCCTGTGAACTGAAGCTACTGAGAAACCAGAACAACCCAACTCTCCTGCATCAAAGTCATGAGCTACAAAACGTTGGAGAGATGCAACCTTACAGGGTGTGGATGAAACCACATCTGCATCATTTACATTGAAAGCTACATGAGAGATTTTCACTAGAGCAGTTGGAGGGACACCTGCAAACCCACCATGGTCAAGGAGATAAGCAGCTAATTCACGGATGCCAGTTTCACCCACACGAACCGAGCGTTTCATTCCAGGTTGCCCCAACATCAATCTCCCAAACCCTTTTGGGTTATTGAAGGCTAGAGGTTCTTCATCAATAGGCTTGGCTACAGCAATGACATCACCATTTCGACTGGGCAAAAAGTAGGCACCACCTAGCCCACTAGACACTGGGATTGGTTCGATACCTGCTGCAATAGACATAGCTGCCTCAATAACAAGAGCATGTACTCTAGGGGCTCCCTGGCCACCGAGAATCTCAATCCTTGGGCTGGTGTCATATTCTTCCTCCACGTTTGTGGCAAGGGAAAGGCAAGGGGTGGAGAAGCTTCGGTGAAATTGTTTTATAGAATGAGCAAGAGCGGCTTGGCTAGGATCGAGAAAATTGTAATCGGTGAAAGATTGGAGTCTGCATCTCTGAGAACGGCTGAGCGGCTTGAATCCATGATGCTGTTCTACAACTGCTGCCATCTTGAATAATCTCATGCAGGTGAGAATGGCAGCAGGTGATGCCAAGAATAGTTATTCTCACAGGATTCCCTGGGCATCAATCTTCCTTGGCAGACCGGCTTTCATGCATCTAAAAAGTACCAAACAAGTGAAAAATTGAAACCAAATTAAAACCAATAAAATCCTAACAAACTTTCAGTTTGGTAGCATGATATTGGGACCAATTCAACTAGATAATTGGCAAGTATTATTCAAGGAATAAATTGAACATAAACTGAAAATGTATATGTATTTATAATCTAAAAAATGATACAAACAACATTGCAAAAATGGAAGATTTAGGCATCAAATGATACAACACATCAACAAAAACTTAAAAAAAAAAAAAAACTCTCTCCACTCATAAGCTTTTAGTTCAATTAATTGATAAAATGCATGTTCATTCATTAAAAAATGGGTTTGAAATGGAATCGACTCCAACCCCGTATCAAAATAGACAATCCTTCATCCATCAAACTAAATACTTATAAACAAATGGCCTGTTTGATACAAGTGGAAGAAGTTTGATTTCCCTAAGTAAGATCTCGAGTCCGAGTCTTATGAATTGAAAAACAAACGTTACAAGAGTTTTTTCTAAAAAATGACGTGCGATTCGATTTCAAATTAGACAAAACCCAATGTGGTTATTGGATATGAGGTTAGTACAAAAAAAAAAAAACTAAATACTTATAAACCCAAGAACAATGATGGAATTCCAAAACGACAAAATTGAAATTTTCAAAACATTCACATTTCATGCAATTGGAATTTTCATTATTTTCTTTTTCAACCTAAAACTTCCACTAATTAATTGAAACTACTTTCCAATATTGTTGCAATGTTATTGATTCCATATCGTACCCGTCAAGTCACAGCAAAATCAATAGCATGTTGGTACGGTATTGACGGTTTTGATGATTTGTAGAACATTATGAAAACAATTGAAAAATTAGGCAACTCACCCAGTGCTGGCATTCACGGGGCAAAATTCGAATGCTGGATTCATTTCTACGATCTACATCCCAGAAATTTCCCATTTGCTTGAATCCATCATAACCTAGAAAAAAGAAACAATCAAAATTCTCCATTAATTCCTCAATCCTTGGATCATAAATCGCCAAAAAAACAAGAACAAGAAATCTCTGAAAAAAAAAAATAAGGATAACCGGAGAAAGAGAGAGACCGTGAATACTGATTAAGGCATTCAGACCCTGAACACTGATTAAGGCATTCAGGGAAGACGAACAGCCACCGGAGATGAACCAAACCGTCGCCGGGAAACAGAATTTCCAATAAGACTTCACCACGACACAGCCTCCTTTTAAATTCAATTTTTTTTCCCCTTTACTTTCCCTCCTATTTTTTCGCCCAAACTGCCTCTCTATTTTTAACTCCTCCCAATCATTAGACGACACGTCAGCAATTTCTGATACTCAGGTGCCACGTGTGATGGTGCTATTGGGTTTCGCGCACTCTGTAACGGTTTACAGCTGGCTTTTTGACCGGTACTAGAGAACCGGTCACGTCGCCGGAGTTTCTAAG